ATGTTATCACTAAAGGGCTCCTTAAACACCATCCACCACACAGCTCTTGAATTGGGTAGTGGAGGCCCTGGTGCAGCCATTCATCCTAGCTACACAGCTGTCTGGGGATACAACAGTCAGCAAACAAAAAGAACCCCACCTGGTAGCATAGGTCTATTATCTCATCTACTCAGGAGGCTGAGGCAGGAGGAGTGCAAGTTCAATGCCTGCTTGGGCAAACCTAGTGAGAGCTTGTTTCAAAATCAAAATAAAAAGAGGTTAGTGGATGTAGTTCAATAGTAGATCACAAGCTGGAATCCTCTAGTGATGGGCTGAGAGCAAGACTCAGTGATAGCGCTCCTAAAATTCACAATGAAAGGCTAAAAGCGTGGCTCAGTGGTACAGCCCCTGTCTAGAATCTCCCAGTGAGGGGTGGGGTGTGGCTCAGTGGTAGAGCCCCTGCCTAGAATCCCCCAGTGAGGGGTTGGGATGTGGCTCAGTGAGAGCATACTTGCACAGCTTGCTGCAATGCCTTGAGTTCAATTCTCAGTAACACAACCCTCAGGGTTAGTAACAAGAAATTAAGAGAATTGTAAAATGGGGGGCACTAAGGAGACAGTTCAGTCAGTAATAATGTTCTCCATACAAGCGTGACAGCCTGAGTTTAACCCCCAGCACCCACCCACATAAAAGCTGGTAATCCCAGCAACATTGAGGAGACAGACAGGGATCCCTAGGGCTTACAGTCTAACCTAATCCACCAGCTGCAGGTCTCAGTGAGAGACCCTGTCTCATGGTGGTGCACGCCTTTAATTCCAGCACTCGGGAGGCAGAGGAAGGCAGATCTCTGTGAGTTCAAAGCCAGCCTGGTCTACAGAGTGAGTTCCATGACAGCCAGGGCTACAAAGAGAGACTCTGTTTCAAAAACAGCAAAACAAACAAAAAAAACCCAGGTGGGTAGGTAGCTACTGAGAATGACAGCTGAGATTTACCCAGCCTCCATATGCACACACATTTGCATACACACCCATACATGAGCAGGCACACACTCAACACAAAACCAACGTTAAAGAATTGCTATATCTAGTGATGCACACCGTTAATCCTAGCATCAGGCTACAGAGGCAGGTGGGTGGATCTCTGTAAGTTTTGACCAGCCTGGTGTACACAGAGCCTGTTCCAGGCCAACCAGGGATACATAGACCTTGCCTTTTGGGGGGAAAAAAAAGACTAGAAAATTGTGAAATAATTGTAAAGGTCAGGAAAGTATTTGTGTGTGAAGATGCAGGGGTGAACCGGGAGGTCAGGAAAGTATTTGTGTGTGAAGATGCAGGGGTGAACCAGGAGGTCAGGAAAGTATTTGTGTGTGAAGATGCAGGGGTGAACCAGGAGGTGCCTCTTTGTCTCAGGACCACTATGGTGAACTGAGTTCTAAAGGGCAAGGAGCAGGTGCTGAGCTGAGAGTGTTCTAGAACGTGGAACTGCAGCAGAGCAGGAAGGGCTGAGGAGGAACCTGTGGCTGAGGGACACCCTGGGTCCTGCTCTTCGGTGCAATGAACACTAGCCACTGTGACAGATATGAATACATGGTCTCATTGGAGTCACATCCTGGTGTCTCCATTGACTGTCAGTCACTAGTCAGGTTGCAAGTTGTTCAAACCACAACGTAATGTTTTGGAGCAGAGCCAAGTCAGACAGGAGTTCCCACTGGTTCTCTGGCACAGCCACTGTTTGGTGAAGGTGTAGCCACCTTTGTATGTGTGGCCGAATCTTTGGGATGCCCTGGTGATAAGGTGCCCCAGCCTCACAGGCTCCTTCTGGCTGTGTTCCTGAATAAGGTAGTAGTGTCACAGGTCAGGACACCAGGTGCTCATGTGTCCCAGCCACCAGGTATCAGTAGCACTCCTCGGTCCAAGTAGCAATCAAAACCTACCTTGTCAGCTTCCACACGGGGATGGTAGGCATCGTGGTCCAGATGGCTGCTTGAGCTCCAGACTTTGTACCCACATCCCAGCCAGAAAGGAGAGGAAAGGGGGTGCCCTTTGCCATTGAGGATGGCAAGATGGGATCCTGTCAGTGCCTTCTGCCTTGAAGCTTTATTGTAAGGATGACTAAGCCTGCCTAGCACAGTGGGGTGAGTCTGGAATCGTCCTACCTTGTGTTGACAGGTAAGGGTCAAGGAAGGCTTTCTGGCAGAGGGGGCAACCTCAGCAGAGACTTGAAGGACAAAGTTAAAATGCAGAAAGGGAAGAGTGTTCTTGACAAAAGGGACAGCGTATGCAGTGGTCAGAGGTTTGGAAGAGCCTGGCTGTTTAGAGACAACACTACAAGGGTCAACAAAGGTCAGTGCATAGGATGTGTGCTTCCTAGCATGGTGGCATACATCTGTAATTACAGTCCTCACGAGGCAGAAGACTTGAAGTTCAGGGTCATCATGGACATACAGTGAGCTCCAGGTCGGCCTTGGCTATGGTGAGACTAAGTTGCATTGGAAGGGGAGGAAGAGGAGACTGCAGCTGCTGCTGCGGCAGATGCTGGGCTGTGCCTGAGTGCTCGCCTAGTATGCATGAGGTCCTAGATTGAATCCTCAGCAGTTTTTAAGATCTGATTTTAGCCTCTACAAGATTGCTCAGTGGGTAGATGTTTGCCACCAAGGTTGACAGCCTGAGTTAGATCCCTGGGACCCACATGGTGGGAGAGAACCAACTCCCGCAAGTTGTGCTCTGACCTCCATATGTGAACCTTCCCCCCCCCCCCCCGCGTCCACAATAAAGCAGTTTTTTTTTAAAGATTTATTTATTATGTATACAGTATTCTAAGTATTCTCAGTATTATGCCTGCAGGCCAGAAGAGGGCACCAGATCGCATTACAGATGGTTGTGAGCCACCATGTGGTTGCTGGGAATTGAACTCAGAACTTTTGGAAGAGCAGGCAGTGATCTTAACCACTGAGCCATCTCTCCAGTACCAATAAAGCAGGTTTTTAAGAGAAATAAATGATGACTTCATTAAAATATGGCTCTGGGTACAGTGTTGCTCCCTTTAATCCCAGTGTTTGGGAGGCGGAGGCAAGTGGATCTCTGAGTTTGAGGCCAGGCTGGTTGACATAGTAAGTTCCAGGCCAGCTAGAACTAGAGGGAGTCTGTAAAAATAAAAATAAATAAGTTAAAATAGGCAGGATTTCCCAGTTGACTTCGGGGTCCCACTCTAGTTTTGAGTAGGGGCCAGAAAGTAGTCAGAAAACATTGGGAGACAGCCTGTCTGCCTTCTGAAGAATAAACCTGTGGAGGTCAGTTATGCTCTTGTGGCCTCGCAGATAGGCAGGAAGTAGGAGTAAGGGAGGGCTGGAGTACAGGTGAAGACTGGGGTGGCCTGCGGCATCACCCTCCCTCTCCCTGCCTGCAGCTTCGGGGTGCTGCTCTGGGAGCTGCTGACCGGGGAGGTCCCCTACCGAGAAATCGACGCCTTGGCCGTGGCTTACGGTGTGGCTATGAACAAGCTGACGCTACCCATCCCCTCCACGTGCCCCGAGCCCTTTGCCCGCCTACTGGAGGGTGAGCCAGGGCCCTGTGGAGAGGGTAGGCTCAGCTTTGGGGACAGGGTCCCATGGGCCACACCTCTCCCCTTTATACCATCCTTGCATTCCAGTGGGCCCAGGAATGGGGGAGAAGGCTCTGGAACCCAGGGGTCCTATGAATGTCATCCCCATCATTGCTTCCATGGCTCCCAGACCCATGTGAGCACCTGAGGGCATGGGACACTGGGGTTCCTGTCTGACCCTGGATCCCTCCGAGGGATCCGGGGTTCTCCCCATTGTCTCCCGTGGCATGTTAACAGGAACTTAGCTAAGTCTTGCCTTGCCCTGAGCGTGGATGCTGACCCTCATCCCACTTCCTTCCCACCCCAGAATGCTGGGACCCAGACCCTCATGGGCGACCGGATTTTGGCAGCATCCTGAAGCAGCTGGAGGTCATCGAACAGTCGGCCCTGTTCCAGATGCCACTGGAGTCCTTCCACTCGCTTCAGGAAGACTGGAAGCTAGAGATTCAGCACATGTTCGATGACCTTCGGACCAAGGAGAAGGTGAAGGCAGGAGACAAGGGTGGGGTGCAGCAGGATCCCGGCTCTGATGCCTTGGGCAGCTCGGAATCCAGGCTCCCTGAAACCCCTCACCCCTTTTGGGTCCATGCAGGGTGTTTTGCATGTTAAGACAGTTTCCTGTTGGTGGACTAATAAGAAAAAGGCCGCCTGTACTGAAGTACTTACAGGTGATTCGGCATGCTGTCTGGGATTGGCTTTAAGTATGATAGCAAACATTCAGGGGGTGAAAGAAAGGAACAGACTTGGCAGGTGTAGGTGATGGTTGAAGTGAGTTAATGGGGAATAGGTGTGCCGTTCTCTGTTTTGGGCCTATTTGAAGTTTTCCTCTGTTTGCTTTTGTGGATGCTTGTTTACCGAAGGATAGTTTACTTAACAAACCAGAGAGCTGTGAAGGCGGTAGTGGTATAGCTGGGGTGTAGAGCACTTGCCTGGCATGCTCAAAGCCCTGGATTCCGGCACAGCACAGCATAAAGCAGGCATGGTGATGCATGCTGCCCTCCTCCCCGGTTTGGCGCTAACTCAGCCCCCTGCCCTGCCTCTCACCTTAGCTAATTAAGTATGAACTGGAGTGTGAACCCCAGCCTGGTGCCCACAAGACCCAACTGCCCCGGGACCACGGGCGGGCGGCCCCAGAAGCTTAGACCCGCCCTCCTCCCTCCAGGAGTTGCGGAGCAGAGAAGAGGAGTTACTGAGAGCCGCTCAGGAGCAGCGGTTTCAGGAAGAGCAGCTGCGGAGACGCGAGCAGGAGCTGGCAGAGCGAGAGATGGACATCGTAGAACGCGAGCTGCATCTGCTCATGAGCCAACTGAGCCAGGAGAAGCCCAGGGTCCGCAAACGCAAGGGCAACTTCAAGCGCAGCCGCTTGCTCAAGCTGCGGGAAGGCAGCAGCCACATCAGCCTGCCCTCCGGTACCACCCGGTCCCCTGAGCGCCCCCCAGAACCTTCTGGGGGCTCTGTCTCCATAGAGGGCTGCTTGATTTGTTTGAACAATTATCTGAGCCAGGGTATCATACATGCTAGGCAAGTTTGTTTTTCCATCGAGCTAACCCCTCAGTACCTTCAAGTTTTTTCTGTTGCAAATGTATCATACCCCAAAAAGCCTGGTGTGGAGGCTCATACTTGTCATCCCAGCATCCATCCTGAGACTGAGGCAGGAGAATCACTAAAAGCTCAAGGCTAGACTGGGCCATCCTGGTTAAGGGTTGAGATTCTCAAAAGGAAAACAAAGTCTTAATTCCCTACCTGGCACACGTGACTGAGGTTAAAAGTCACAGCATGGCCGATAACAGTACCAGCCAGTGGAGATATAGTCATGGGCATAACGTTGAGCAGCCACATTGAAAAGCTGAAAAGAAGCCAGGCATGGTGGAGGCAGGAGGATTAGGAGTTCAAGATTGTCTTCTCAGTATAACAAATTTGAAATCAATTTAGGCTGCATATGACCCTGTCTCAAATCACAATACAAAGAAACTATGGGACAGTCACTGTTTTATTCAGCCCAGTATAGCCATATAAGCTTTATCAAAAACAAAACAAAACAAAAAACCATAAGATGTTGCTTTCTTGTTTTCACACTGAATCATTGAGATCCAGTGTGTTTTATATTTATAGCACATCTTGACCTAGGTGTTAAGTTTCCAGGTCAGGCATGATGGTGCCTACCTATAATACTAACACTGGGAAGGCAGAGGCAAATGATCAATTTGAAGCCAGCCTGGGATAGAGAGAGAGTTCAGGGCCAGTCTGTGCTACATAGCAAGACCATATCCAGAAATAAAACAGGTGCTGGGCCAGGGGCTCTGAGAGGGGTTGGGGGTGTGGCTCAGTGGTAGAGCACTTGCACTAACAGGTGCAGAGCCTGGGGTTACATCCCCAGCACTACCACCGCCCCCCACAAATGATCTGGGAGCCTGGGCAGATAGCTCAATGGTTAGGTACTTGCCTGGCATGCAGAGGGCGTGGGCTTGCAAATATTCCCCTGACACTGCAAATATTTGTATATTTTTTAAATTTATACTAATATTTTATAAACGTTACAAGTTGATGAAGGTAGACTCACCTGCCCAGTTTGTTTCCAGCATGCTTCAGTGCCTCCAGCAACCAAATATACTATCTTTCTTAAACTTAGTCACAAGTAGATATTAAATTCCACTCCCTCGGGTGCCCCAAGTGCTCCATGCTCTCATAGTATTTAACTGCTGCCCTGGCGGACTCAGGCCTGGATCCTTAGTTAAGTCAGATTTAGAGCCTCCCTAAGTTTATTCATTCAGGGAGAGCCTAAGAATCTCCATTTCAAGAGAATTCCAGCTGCTCTGGGACTTTTGAGAGCCAGTGCCACATGCCCCCTGCTGTCAGTTCCTGTTCCTGCAGAGGATGCCATGCACTTAGGACCGCCTCTTTCTTCTTTCAGGATTTGAACATAAGATCACCGTCCAGGCTTCTCCTACCCTAGACAAGAGGAAAGGATCCGATGGGGCCAGCCCTCCTGCCAGCCCCAGCATCATTCCCCGCTTGAGGGCCATCCGCTGTGAGTATACACAAGGCTGGCATAGTGCGTCAGAAAACCCTCTGAGTATATGGCTGGCATGCCTGGTTCTCATCGGGGCACCAGCTAACACATACATCACTAAACAGCATCCTTTCTAGGAACAGAGTAGACGATAAGACATTGGTGCTGGGAGTTATGTACAGCTCAGGGGGAGAGCCTGTACTTAGCATATCATGAAACCTTGTTTGCTGTCCCAGCACCAAAAATAGAGAGGGAGAATGTATTGGGGTTCCCCAGAGAGACTCCATCAGTAGACTCTAGTTAAGAGGGTTGGATCAGAGGTATAGACCCTGGCACATGCATCCATCCTGCAAGCTGGAAGGACAGGAAACAGGCTGCTCTACACCACACCCACATCCAAAGTCAGGGGACTCAGAGAGGGCAGCTCAAGGTCAAGTTCCGGAAGCAGAATCTCCCTCTGCCTCTTTGTTCTGTTTGGGCCTGGAGTAGACCAATGGGGAGCCACACACTAGGAGATAGTAGAACCAGGGTGAATTCAGGAGCATGGAGGAAAGAGCCGCAGTCCCCAGAGCTCAGGGCTGTACCAGCTAGAATGAAGCTGAAGCCTTGGGAGGGGAGTGAGGACACAGGCTCAGGAGTGGGGGGGGGGTGTCTTAAGGAGAATCCAATTGCTGTGTTGGGTTTGAGGGGCCCCAATAGCAGTGGAAGATTAGGGAAAGATTTACCGCAGGAGTAGCCATCAGAAAGGTCCCTAGGGTGGCCGGGGTCTCTTTCTTCATGACTCACTTGTGACTCCTCTCCGCCCAGTGACTCCCATGGACTGTGGCAGCAGCAGTGGCAGTGGAACATGGAGCCGAAGTGGGCCACCAAAGAAGGAAGAACTGGTTGGGGGCAAGAAGAAGGGCAGGACATGGGGCCCCAGTTCCACTCTGCAGAAGGAGCGGGCCGGAGGAGAGGAGAGGTATGGGTGTACAGCTGCCTGCCTGCCCCTGTGCCTGCCTAACCCATGCCCTGATGCCATCTCCCTGTGCCCCTGCAGGCTCAAGGCCCTGGGGGAAGGAAGCAAGCAGTGGTCCTCAAGCGCCCCAAACTTGGGCAAATCCCCCAAGCACACCCCCATGGCCCCAGGCTTTGCGAGCCTCAATGAGATGGGTAAGAGAGTGTGGGTGCTCCGGGGAGTGGAGGGGACAAGAGAAATCGTGGCTGAGGGAACAGCACTCAGGCCTAGGCAGACATACCCAGAAGATGAAACAGCAGCTCCTGGCCTGGGGGTTGGCGCTCATTTTCAGAAGCATGGCTTTGGGGAGAGAGATTTGAGGGTGACGTCTAGTGGCATCTGTAGAGTTGGGAATCTTGCTTTTGGAGGTCATTGGGGGAAGTCCTTGCCACCAGGTCTGGGGGAAGGTGAGGAAAGGTGGGATCAGCCGAGTGATGGACCTCTCCGGTTGCAGAAGAGTTTGCGGAGGCAGATGAAGGCAACAGCGTGCCCCCTTCCCCCTACTCCACCCCGTCCTACCTCAAGGTGCCTCTGCCCGCCGAGCCCTCTCCTCGCGCGCAGGCGCCATGGGAGCCGCCGGCTGTGACCCCCTCCCGGCCAGGACACGGAGCCCGTAGGCGCTGTGACCTGGCACTGCTGGGTTGCGCCACGCTGCTGGGCGCCGTAGGCCTGGGCGCCGATGTGGCCGAGGCGCGTGCTGGGGACGGCGAGGAACAGCGGCGCTGGCTGGACGGCCTCTTCTTCCCACGTCCTGGCCGCTTTCCTCGGGGTCTAAGCCCGACTGGGCGCCCCGGGAGTCGCCGCGATGACACAGCTCCCGGCCTGGGCCTGGCGCCCTCGGCCACCCTGGTGTCACTGTCCTCTGTGTCCGATTGCAACTCTACGCGCTCCTTGCTGAGGTCCGACAGCGACGAGGCCGCGCCCACCGTACCCTCCCCGCCGCCCTCTCCCCTGGTGTCCTCACCCAGCACCAATCCCCTTGTGGACGTGGAGCTGGAAAGCTTCAAGAAGGATCCCCGCCAGTCGCTCACGCCCACCCACGTCACCGCCGCACACGCAGTGAACCGGGGACACAGGCGGACCCCATCGGATGGGGCGCTGAGGCAACGGGAACCTCTGGAGCTCACTAACCAGGGTGAGTGAGGCCTGTACAAGCCACCCTTCACAGGCCACTGCCCTTTCTCCTTTGGAGCACGGAGGAAAAAGCCTCTGCGCCCCCTGCCCTCATTGCTGGAGGCACGGTGGGGCTCGGGATGTCTGAGACAGGACCAATTGGAGGTGACAGTATAATGCCTGCAAGGGCGGGCGGGGGACTTGATGGCGACTGGAAGCAGGGGTAGCTATTGGCACGATCTTGTCTACTTATTTTCGCCAAAATGACGGCAGGTCAGGACTCACTCTGCCCTGCCCGTGGCGGCCTCTGTTTTACAGCCGCTGTGGTCAGATTTGAATGTCTCTGCCCCAGCAAGGTGCTGATCTCTCTTCAGAGATGACCACGTGAGCTGGTGGCACTCTCCTGGGAAGCCAGCACTCAGGTCATCCTGGTCTACATACAGAGTTTGAGATCAGCCTTGGCTACATGAGACCCTGTCCCAAAGAGGGGAAAACTGGGCTGGGGCTGTAGCTCCTTTGGTTGAGTGATTGCCTAACACGCAGGATTTGATTCCCACCACCACAGAAAACTGGTGTTTGCACAAACACTAGAACCCCAGCACTCTGGGGGCCGAGGCAGAAGGTTGGGGAGGCATTTAAGGTCATTCTCTGCTACACAGAGTTCCAGGCTACCCTGTCGCCAAGACCCAAAAAGACCATCTTCCAGATGAATGAGCCATTGGAAGCTGTGGGGACCTATTCAGGTTCAAGTGCAGGGCTCCTAATGGCTGTGGTCTTACTAGGAAACAGGCAGAGCAAGATCTGAGAATTTTCAAGAGAAGCCAGGAACACCACTTTCCGAGGAGGGTTGTTGGCTTAGAAATGGCACCCTTTTCCCCAACCCCTCACCCATGTGACCCTCTTTCCTTAGGTCCTCGAGACCCCCTTGACTTCCCTCGACTACCCGACCCTCAGGCCTTGTTCCCCAACCGTCGCCGACCCCTGGAGTTCCCTGGCCGTCCCACCACCCTCACCTTTGCCCCAAGACCCCGGCCAGCTGCCAGCCGCCCCCGTCTGGACCCCTGGAAACTGGTCTCCTTTGGCCGGACACTCAACATCTCGCCTCCCAGCAGGCCAGACACTCCAGAGAGCCCTGGGCCCCCCAGTGTGCAGCCCACACTGCTGGACATGGACATGGAGGGCCAGAGCCTGGACAACACAGTGCCCTTGTGTGGGGCCTATGGCTCTCACTGAGACCTGCCTGCCACCACCCGCCTGGGCAGCCATGAATGTAGTGCCCCAGGCCCCGCCACAGCCCACCATGCCCCAAGGTGGGGGAGGCCCTGGGCAGGATACTCACTCTATTTATTGGGGAAGGGGGGAGGGGAGGACACTTAATTTATTCCTTTGTACCCCAGGGGGTGGAGCTCTGAGCCCAACCTGCTGTGGGGAGAGGGTGGGCAGGGATACTCAGGGACAGGACATTGTGGGGGATTTGGCACAAAACACAGCATTAAAGGTAACCCCTGCCCCCTACCAAGCTTGGCTGTGTATGCTTCCCCAGCATGGGCCCTAATGCTGAGTTACCCCACAATGGGAAACCCTTACACCCCACATTTCCTCCTGGGCCTCTTGATTTCTGAGGAAGCGAGACCCAAGTGTGGATCTCCTGTTTCATTCCCACAATAACAACGCAAAGGAGACACCAGTGGCGGGCGCTTTACCAGTAAACACAGGAGCCAGGGGAGACACCAGTGGCGGGCGCTTTACCAGTAAACACAGGAGCCAGGGGAGACACCAGTGGCAGGCGCTTTACCAGTAAACACACGAGCCAGGGGAGACACCAGTGGCAGGCGCTTTACCAGTAAACACACGAGCCAGGGGAGACACCAGTGGCGGGCGCTTTACCAGTAAACACAGGAGCCAGGGGAGACACCAGTGGCAGGCGCTTTACCAGTAAACACACGAGCCAGGGGAGACACCAGTGGCGGGCGCTTTACCAGTAAACACACGAGCCAGGGGGAGTTGCCTGGTGAGGTTAGAGGGAATAAGGTAGAGGCTGCCCTTTGCCCTCAGCCCAGGACATCCCGAGCTGGGCCTCCAGTCCCGCTCTCGCTGTCTTCCCGCTGGAGGCTGCAACGGTTCATCTTCAGCTGAGTCAGCTGGATGTAGCGGAGAACATTGGTGTCTGCAGGGGAGGAACGGAAACATCTTGGTGTCCTGAGACAGGGCAATGTCCTCATGGCCTCAGCTCACAGCCAGTGAGTGGCTCCACCCCCAGCACTTGGGTTGTCAGCAGCCACTGGGGACATTTCATGCCTCAGTCTCACACGTGCCGCACTGAGCAGGAGAGGCTCCTGTCACACCTCCACCCATCCCCCCAGTGACAACTGTTCTCAGCAAACCCCTTGACAGGAGAGCTAATCCTGCCTGGGATCCCACAGCCCTGCACCCAGCACCTGCTGCGTCCCCTCTGTCCTCCTCCTCAGCTTGTGGCATGCCTACACATACATGGACAAACAATACCCTGACTGATCTCTGCAAGGGCAGAGGATAAGTGTTCTGAGCACAGGCGTGGAGGGCAGAAGGTCGCCGAGGAGCTGGCTGACTGGGAGGGAGTAGGGGATATGGGTGTGGGGCGGCAAGTGTTCAAGACAGTCCTACGTGAGCAGTCAGGGACACGGGGTCTATGGGTTGGGGATTTAGTTGCTTTGCGTGATTGAGGGGTTGGGGAGATGGCGGAGGAACAGGGTGAGGAAGCCTTTGGTGAAGGTGGATGGATGGTCTTGACCAAGAGCTGGCCACAGCACTTCCCTGAGGTAGTTCCGACCTGCCTGGGCTTCCTTTGCTCCAACCCCTTGCCCAGCTCCACCCAGCCCTGCCACTCACCTGTGGGCTCCCGGCTTCGGGCTTCCTGCAGGTAGCGCAGCGCACGCGCGTAGTCGCCCAGGTGGTAGAAGGCGATGCCGGCGCGGTAGGTGGCCTTGAAGTTGCCCTGCTGTTTCTCCAGCACCTTGAGACAGTACTCGCGCACACGCTCATAGTTCACCAGCTCCGACTGCAGGAGGCAAGCTGCGGGGGTGCGGAGACCCCTGAACCCCCTAGGACTCACATGACCTCAAGTAACCTGGCCTCTTCTGCTTGGCTAAGGGATTGCTCTGGCCACCAGGGGACGCCAATCTGCTATCTCGTTAGTAGAGAATCGATCTGCGCCGCCGCTAGAGGGCACAGGGCAGACAAGTCTAGGCAGTTAGCTGGAGGTCTCCCAAACAATTGCAGAAGTGAGGGACTAAGAACCAAATAGCCATGAAGGAAGGGTAAGCCTTTCTAACCTTGGCTCACGCGCGGCATATCGGAGAGATTAAGTCAGGGAAGTGAACTTTGAACCAAGTCCAAAGCCTGCTTCCTCCATCCTAGAACCCTTCCTTGTTCATCTACTCCCACCTCCTGTTCTCAGTAAGTTCTGAAGTCTCCCCGTCAGAACGCAACCCTGATTCCTTCAGCCTCCAGCCACTACCCCTCAGGCTTTAAGGCCTCCTGATTGCCCCTTACCACCCACCCGTCTCAGCCATGTCCTCTGCTCCCCCCCTGCTCCGCCCCGACGGCCCCATACCGGTGAGGGAGTCATAACATTCAACCTCTGTGTTCTCCACCAGGCGCCGCTGCTCCTCGCTGAGGCGGGCCGGCCCCGGGCTGGCTGCGGGTCCGGGGGAGGGGGCGGGCAGGCCGCCAGGGCGGGCCCCCTGAGCTGCCTTCAGCTGCAGCAGTGCCCGGTGGTACTTGCCAATGGCTTCTCGGAACTTCTTTTCTCGATAGCAGCGCTGACCCTCCGCCTTGAACGCCACGGCGGCCCGCAGGCTGCTGTCGAGTGCCGCAGCCAGGCCCCCAGACGGCTCTGGGGCAGGACCCGGGCGAGCTGAGCCATGGCGAGGCGCTGAGCCTGGGCCCGGGGGGGAAAGGGCGGGAGGCGGGCGCGGTGGAGGCTCCGGGGCAGCGCTGAGCATCAGCACCGGGGACAGCGCGCCGCGCTGCATTGTGGGAAACTCCTTCGGCCGCCGCTGCAGCTACCGCATCGCCCCCCGCGGGGCCGGTCCCCACCCTTTCTCCGCCCCCGCATCTCTGGCTGCCGTCTCCGGCTGCCCCCTATGGGTCTACCGAAGCCCCTCCAGACTCCCCCTCGCTCACCATAAAATCGGCCCCGGTGTCTGGTTTTCTGGTGCCTCCCCCTTGTCCCCACAGTCCTTAACCTCCCCACCAGCCTGCATGCTCTCCCTGAGATTTCCAGAAGAACAGGCTGAGCAGGCTGATATCAGTCACCAGTCATTTGACATGTTGGATAAGAACACAGGATAGGAAGTCAAGT